TTGGCTCTGCGCTGCCGTAGCGCAAAGATGTCTGCCTCCATGGCTGCGAGACCCGCTCCTATGTAATGATAAATAACGAATTCTAAGGCAACGCAAATGTTAAGGTTAAGAGGCTGAGCTCCTAGATGATGATAAATAACATAGTTATGTATAATATATTACATTTCTGACTGTATATCCCTGTAATTATTACACACTGTAGCTTTAATAGAGGTTTGTCTCTCTTTTATGTCGAACATTTTAGACATTGACAAACATTTTGGAAATTATATTGTAAATGAAACATGGATGTTTGTTTAGGATAACATAATAATAATTATTGCACATGTATGGTTAAAAATTGGGATATTTGCCGTTTTGATGCGTGTTTGACGTCACCCGCGCACGCCAGCTACCATTCATTCATCCTGTTCCCTGAACTGGTGCTAGTTTTACTGACATGCCTGGAAGATGTCTAGTGCTACAACCACAGATGATCTCGCTCTCGAAATGGAATTGAACAATTCAGATTAGCTAGCCAAATGAATAGAAGGGCCTATCACAACTCCAGGGCGGACGACGTCATACATGGGCTGCTTTGTTTTAGAAAAATATAAATTAAGAAAAATATAACCGCGGATGGGGGACAGTGATTCGTCTAAATGTTATGAATTCTGGCGTAGCATAAATGATAAATTATGAATAGTTTAGTTTGTGCCTTCAAGTCGTTACCCATAGGAAGACGTTACTTGGATATAACCTAACGGAATATGTTTTGAACAGCTCCAAATGACACAAAACTCATATGGGTGAGTAGAACATGATGTAATAACATAAAATCAAGGGGCCAATGTAAAAAAACGATGTTCCCCCCTAAAGCTAGAACACACCAAATCTGATTTTGCTCCTGCTCTGACAGAAAATTGTGTCGGACAAGTCATGGCGTTTAGCACTAATTGAATATCAATGGGGATGATCACATCCGATACAATATTACAAAAGGGGCTTGGGTAGGTCCTACTGAGATAGACCCCAGCCTAACACCGAAATCCCACATCCTCCATAACCTCTTTGTTCAAGACTGCCTGCACAAAGCAAAGCCTGAATTGATGAAATATTAAAAAACATATGTTGGGAGCTGGAGAAAATCCCATCTTTCTCCAGCAGAGGCCGCCGTGGATCCTCTGAGGGAGCCTCCTGCACAGCTGCAGCTCATCTAGATCATCAGAGGATCCACTATATAAGCTGTCTTCAGACCTTGCCTCAACGCCGCAGTGTTGTTCCAGTTGGTCAGCGCTAAAGCCTAGATCCTTGTGTTATCTCCATGACTTTGAATCCAGGTCGGATTCTAACCTCTCTCCCTGTGTTTCCAGGAAACCCGTGTCTTCTCTGTGAAAGCTCTGGAAGAGCTACCCTGCCGAGCCGACCCTCTGAGCCAAACCCTGAAGATTCTCTGAGAACCTCCAAGCAG